CTTTCCCACAGTGAATTTGGTAAACACATAAAGACTCTGTGATGCAGCTGCCTAAAACAGCCACTTGTGCTTTCTCTGCAGGTGACTCCAGAAACAGAGCCTTGCTGCTTGATCTGTTTCTAGATGTACCATTCCTGAGCCTTAATTTGGGTAACGCTGTTCTGAACCCTTCATAAGAGGAAGTTGGCTGTGCAGGCAGGGCAGTCCTGGCCAGACTGTGAGCCTTGAAGAGCCTTCATGAAAAGAAGGTTTAGAATGCCTTCTTTTGGGAAAATTGAGATAGAAACGCAAGTTGTCAAGTTGCGTGTTTCCTCTGAAATGTGTGGCAGACAACATCACTCCAGAAAGGTCATCTGTGGATTTTATTCTTGTAACGGTCCACTGTTTATGTGATCACAAATCCAGCTTCCCTAGTTTGCTCTTGGTTTATGTGGTTTCTCTTGAGAAACAAAACACATCTGTAAAGAAATATTTAGTAATGTAGATAGGGAGTTGGGAAGGAGGGGAATTTAGAAGCCACAGCTGACCTTTTGTGCCGAACATGAGAAGCTCAGATGCTCCTGGTTGAAGTGATGGGTAATGTGCCTCATCATCTGCTGTAAGACAAGATTCCAGATCATGGCTTCCCCTTGAACACTAAAACAGGGCTTCTCTGAGTCAGTAGTTCAGTGGTGTCACCGTGCTTCATCCCATGGGGCAAAAGATGTTCCTCGAAAACAGGTGTAGTGTTGTGAGGCAGTGACATCCTGCTGGAGAGAGTCCAGCGTAGGGCTACAAAGATGATTAAGGGAGTGGAGCATCTCCCTTCTGAGGAGCGGCTGAGGGAGCTGGGGCTCTTTAGTTTGCAGAAGAGGAGACTGAGGGGAGACCTCATTCATGGTTATAAATATTTAAAGCGTGAGTGTCACGAGGATGGAGCCAGGCTCTTCTCGGTGACAAACAATGATAGGACAAGGGGTAACAGACACAAGCTGGAACACAGGAGGTTCCACTTCAATTGGAGAAGAAACTTCTTCTCAGTGAGGGTGACAGAGCCCTGGCCCAGGCTGCCCAGAGAGGTTGTGGAGTCTCCTTCTCTGCAGACATTCAAAACCCGCCTGGACGCCTTCCTGTGTAACCTCATCTGGGTGTTCCTGCTCCGGCAGGGGGATTGGACTGGATGAGCTTTGGAGGTCCCTTCCAATCCCTAACGGTCTGGGATTCTGGGATTAGAACCAGTGGAAACGGAAGTTCCAACTCCTAAGTCCAGCCTAACTCCTTCCGAAGTTAGTATTTGATGGTTTTTAAATCGATTTAGCTCTTTATCCTGTGAATGGCAGCTTCTCTTTATGAACTGCAGGCATTTCATTTAGCAGAAATCCTAGAGGAAGTTGTTAGGGCTTCGGTGCAATGGAGTAAGTAACATTTCTGGATCTGTTTTTCAGCTCACTGATTGAAACTGCAAGTTCGAAGTGCAACATAAGTCCTAATAGTGCAGTCATCAAAAGTTTCACAACTAATGGATGCTAGGCCATTCGCAGTGGGAAATCACAAGTCAGGATTCGAGGACAGTGAGTGAATTGGGTGTTACTAAACTCCCCTCAAGCCATTTCTTAAGAACTCTTCGTATTTATGAGCACTGAAACCTGCATGGTCATCCCCACAGTAGTTTCCTGTACTGAATTTCTCCAGAATAAGTATTTTGCAAAATGGATAGCTGATATCATTAATTTTCATCTTTCTGCTAAGTGAAGGTCCAGACTTGTAGAAGACCAGATTTCTGTTTGCAGGTCATCTGTCCTTGCAGTTGTACATCCACTCGAACTAATCCTTGACACTCACAAGGGGCCGATTTGGCATTTGAGTAAACACTTGCCCAAAACCATATATTTGAGCTTCATGAAAGGTCCAAAATGTCTTTGCAAAGAGAGGAAGAAAGCTGGGCTCGTGGCCAGCTAAAGTGCTTAAATGGCTTTTCCAAGGCTTCTGAGGAAAAAGCGAGCGCTGAGATCAGAAAAGGATTTAAAGGCCGGTGGTTTTTCTTATACCTGTTCCCTGTGTTCAGGGAGGAGGGTGCAAGTCCAGGCTTCAGTAGGGCAGGTTGGCTTTTGTTGTGTTTGTAAGTCTGAGAATAAAGGTTTTATGGTAACGCTGTGATTGATGTCTGATGTGTTTTCAAACCACTTCCCAGCAGTCTCCTAGCAGCCTTAGAGAAGTGCAAGACCTGACAGTGGTCAAGAACAAAGCGACACCAGACATCAGAAAATGTGCTGCGTTCGGTGCTGTCAGCATTTTCTCCTGCAAAGAAACAAGTCCAGGGCGGCCATGCCTTTAATGTCAAGGAATGTGCTGAGAGCTTGGGAAAAACCATATCCAAGCTGGTTTTTGAGTGTGTGTGTGAAGGGAGGCTTGATTCAGGCTGTTGGCAGAGTCAGGAGCTGACTTGTCTGCGATGCTGGCAGGGCTGCTGTTTCAAAAGGCTTTGTAAATAGGTACGCTCCCGTGGTGTTCTGGTAGACAGAACCTGAGTGTGGTGACTGGGGCACATGGGGAGGAGAGGGTGTGCAGGTTGTGCTCCTTTTCAGGGCTCTGCTTAGAAGCGAACATGTTGAGGAGCAGGGAGGTGTGGCAGTGTGTGTTTGCTGACTGGAAATAGCAATCTCTTTGGTGAAAAAAGAATCTGTTGGTTTTTAATGTGAAGAAGTGGATTTGCTGTGTTAGTGGGTGAGGGGGTTTAACCTAACAGAGTTGTGTCGCCCTGACTGAAGCAGATCTGTGGATGTGGTAGGATTCGTTTTGGAGGAAGGTCACCATCTCTTGCAGCATAGAAAGCAAACTCTTCTTTGGTTTCTCTTGCAGACTTGTCTGTCGATACCTGACATCAAGACAGCATTCAGTGACTGCATTAACAAGATTGGGAAGAGAGACTGCCTGACACAAGCCTGCTCTGCTCTGACTGGGTAAGCGTGGGAATGGGTGGAGTGTTGGGTAACTGAGCAGCTGCAGGGAGTCACACAGGCAGAGCAGCTCTGTAGGATTCAGTAACCCCTGAACAGGAGCTGTGCTCCCCTCCCAGACACGACAGGCGCTTGTTTGTGAACCCTGGAGTTGCACCAGGTCGGTAACTTCTGTAACTCCTGCCTATGAAACACAAGGAGAATGTCCAACTGGCTGAGAGCAGTGGGACTTGGAGGCAAATGGAGCTGTTGATTCATATCCTCCATCATCCCTTCTCCACACACAGTAACTCTGCAGTCGTTGGCTTCCTGCAGCTCGTGGCTTTTTTGTAAGAAGCCAGTTGAAAACGTAGCTGTTTCTGATGCTGTCAGAGAAATGAGTGGTGTCCCACTGCCGGCGGAGTAGTTATGCTCTTGCTTTCATATTTTTTGGCATGCAGATGAGCTTTGTTGTGTAGATAATATAACAACCTCCAAGAGCGTTCTTGCTCTGGGGACGGCTGTGGTTTAAGATACAACGACGAGAACAGACCAACATTTGGGAGCCTGTCAGTCTTCTTCAGGCTCACACAGCTGCACGCCGTGGCCTTGACTGACTCACTGGATTCTTGATAACTTAACATCGCTGTTGCACATTGAGTCTTGCAATACTTTGGTTACGCTTTCAGTTCTTTGGGTGAAAAGTGCAATTTGGCCTAGGTCAAAAGTACCATTCCAGATGGCTAGAAACACTCCTGCTTGGATTACTGCCTGCCCTGAATCCAGAGCTTTGAGATTTCTTTTTTTAGTCTAGCAAGAAAGCTGATACACAAGCTACTGCGAAGGATAAGAAAAGCTTCTTAAACCACTGGAAAAATCTTTGTTGTCTGCGTTGCTAGGAATCAAATGCCATTAAGCAGATGAGTGACCACAAGAACAAGAACAATGGCTAAGCACTGACTGGAAGAGAAGTCTTAGATAATAATCTTATGAAATGCAACCTTTACGATTGTTGTGGGTTTGGTACAAACACTTCTAGTTTTGATCGGTGTGGAATTTCCTTTCAAAATTTCTGTTTGAGTTTGCACTAAAAAAACAACAAACAAACCAATAAAGAAAAATTGTGGAAGTCCTGGCTGGGAAGCTGTGCAGATCAGTGAGCTGGCGACTTGCTTGGCAGCCCCAGCACTGATGCTTACAGAAAGCTGGAGCCAGAACTGGAAAAAATCACCTCGAAGCAGCTGACTGTCAGGTGGTTTGATGCTTGTTCATCCCAAGGTTTCCACAGAGTTGGTGACTAACTAAACTGGATGTAGACTTATACAGAAAAATAAAGGATGGAGTTTACATACCGAATTAAAAGAAACCAGAGCCACATGGTGTGTGTGTGTGAGGAACTAACATAGTCATGTCAAGAGGTAACTGGGGGGCAGAAGCCTTCACTTGCTCTTGGAAAGGCACAGTTAGGGACTACGTGAGCCATGGTTTTGTGCTTGCTTGGTTGTTGTTGTTTTGTTTTTTATAACCTTTTCTACTTCCTTCCTTAGGAAAGGAGTGAACGAGGGAATTGAATGGATGGTGAAGTGCGTGGTGAGGAATATTCACCGGCCCCCAAGAAAGAAGGACATCACGTAAGAAGCTCCGAGTCAGCCAAGGAACGGACAGTCTTTTTCCACGCAGTTTTGTGTTCACTTTAAAGAAGGTGATCCACTGGATTCCTATGACACCTGATTCTTCCCTACCTTTGGAGACAAACATTCTCTTCCTGCGTCTAAAAAACCCTGAGCAAAGGTTTCCAACTGGGTGGGGGGTGGGAATCTCTTACATTAAGTATTAGGCCGTTGGCCTGAGAGCATAGACTGGCCGGCGACCCACACTTTGTTGCAGATGCAAAGGACTTAATTTTCTACTGTATTACTTTGTGATTCTTGATTTGTTAGTCCAACAGGCTAGAGGCCAGTGACATGAAGGAACTCCTGAAGAAATGGCATAGGTGACTATGAAAGGGGAGGGAGAGCCTGGGCAGTGGCTGTCCCTTGTATCTGAGAAGATCCCTTGCTGCTCCAGCCCCATGGTTGCTGTAGGTAGTGTTACTGGCCCTGTTATGCTGCTGTTTGTATAACAAGGAGAGACAGTGTTGATTAAAACTCTGTTTTCAGTCAGCACAGTGATTTGTAACTTGTACCTGTGGTAAACCCGGATATGGAAGCCAGCAGCTGCGCAATGGTACACTGGTTAAAATGGGTGTTAACAGGACGTGAGCTCCAGAAGCACTGCCTTGCTTTGACTGCCGATCTCTGTTGTGCGTTCTCTTTAACTGTAATAATAATTGGTATCTTCTGTAACTGGAATGAATTGTGATCTTTCTCGGCCAAAAGCTGAACCACTGGGCAGGGAGAAATCAGTATGCAATAAAGCTTCCTACTTTGAACTTCTCTTGCTGATACAGCTGATGGTTGGAAATAGTGACGCTTTTTGAAATGCAAGAAAGAACAGAAAGGCAGCTGGAAAAGTCAGACAGGGCTCACTTCTTGTGTAGCCTAGTTAGTAATTCTGCTGACATATCACTGACATTTTTCCAAATACCTCTTTCTGCGTGTATTTCGCAGTGGTTTGGCAGCGGGTGTTGCTCTTTGCTTGTTTTCTTTACTCCTGGCACTGGTGACCACTCTGTGCTGTTTGCTCACATGACTAAGGGGACATCACTCAAGCTCTGTTTGAGCAAGTTGCACAGCAGTATTTGTTTAAAGATCTGTTATTTGGCATTTGTCAGTGAACTTTCTGCTAAATTTTCTGCCTACAACTCATTGCAGGTCTTTTTTTTTTTAACAAGAGAACATAACTCATTCCCGCAGGTTTGGGTCAAGGCGTGAAGGCAGCTGGACTGTGTCATTGGGCACATGAAGTCAGTGGAAATAATTGCATACTGGAGAGCAAAACCTTGGCAACACCGGGGTAGGGGAAGGCCAGGGCAGGATGAGATATCAGATCCCTTTCAATTACTTGCCGTTGTTAGAAGAGGTGGTAGAGCACAGTACCTGTGTTTGAATTTGAATGGTGCCAACGTCAAGGCTGTATCCTGGAAGAATTAAACTGCAGGGGATCTAACCCACACACCAGTGATTTCACAAGGCTCCTTCAGACCTAACGAGCCATCTCGGGTTTCTTACGCGCTCTCAGTGTAGAGGATCCCTTGAAGTTCACTCACCTGCTGTAAGAAGTGGCGCTTTCTCCAGGTGCTGCGCATGAGAGCTGAGAGTTTCAAGTGTACAGAAGTATGAGATGCCCTGTGGCCAGTGATTCTAGGGGAAATCTCTCTCACTTGGCCCTCTCTGAAAGCCTGAGTACTTTGAAGGTATCGCTGTGGTCCTGCCTCTTGTTTTGGTTGGCAGGGTTGGTGCTAGCAATTGAACTGAAGGTGTGAAACAGTGACTGGTGGACAAAAGTGCCTTGCTGAGAGACTGAACGCTTGAGTCAAGTAATGTAAAATGTCTGTTTAATGGGACACCAGGGGTTTTCCAAGCTTTCCACATTCTCTTCTCAGATCTCTCCCTGTCCCCTAGGAGACCAGGGAGGAAAAACAGTTTTGACCTCAAGTCTGTAGCTGTTCTCACAAGTTTCTAGACTGAAAGACTGCTTTGTGGCACATATCAGCAGGAGCCCTTAAGCTAAAGCAAATGTTTTGACTTCAGAATTCCAAGTTCTCAAGAGCAGGACAGTCTTTCACCCAGAAAGATGCATCGGCTGTGATATGTAAGTATGAGCATGCTCTGATGCCCACACAGAATCGGGGAGGATTTGCTGCGCAAGCACAACCTGGACTGGATCTCGCTGCTCAGGTACCACATGCAGTCACTTTACATGAAGCACAAAGACACTGGAGTGCTGCTAAGGCAGCTGGGGTTTTCAGTCGCATCTGCTCTAGGTGGTCATAAATGGCTACACAAGGACACTGACGGCTTCCTTCTTCAGTTGGTTTTATTGCAGCTTCAGTCTCTCTAAGCAGGTTTGTTCTGCTGATGATACCTCACTACAGAGCAGTGGAACAGAGCCAAATGCACAGGGAAAAGCTTTCTAAAAAGGGATGGGAGTTCATGCATAAGCTCCACTAAAGAGAAAGGTCCCATGGGGATAGCCTAAGATGGTATACCTCAAAACCATTTTATATTTTGATCAGTAATTCAATCAATAATTTGCCATATTTTAGACCTGTGCTTTATTTGAGTCCTTACAGGAAGCACAGACTTATTTACAATGCTTTTGGTAGTGCAATTGGACCCCACTACAAGAGCTCCAACCAAAGTGGGGATGTTTCCAAGTAGTTCAAATGTAATCAGGTTTTCAGAGTTCTGATACATTTGGGGTGGAAGTGTTTTGCCCACGCCTGTTCACAGCAATTTATTTCTCTTATTTTCTCTTCAGAGCTGCTTTATCTTCCCCTGGTCAAACAGATTCATCGTCTGCACTTAGTAATCACTTTTTCCTTCAGCGTGCTTTACACTGAGGTAAAGTTAAATACCTAATAATCACGCTTGGTTTAACATTGGCAGGAAATTCACTTTCTCACACCTCTCTGCAATTTGCCTGCTCTGTGAGCATTTATCAGCTGTCAGCAGCGGGAGGCACAAGAGCATTCCTTACAAAAACCCCACAAAACCCACTCCTGCTGCTTTTGAGTGCTCCGTGAATCCCAGCACTATCCCTGCGGTGGCGATTTCACCTTCACTGGGATCTCTGGAAAGACACAGAATAACAGCAACAGCACTTTTACTCTGTAACAGAGAAATGGACTTCATATCCTTTCCAACTCCAGGGTTGGTTTATTCCTAACCGAGCTATTTTTGGTCTTTTCTTCCTTATGGCCCTGCTTACGACGTCCTGCTGACACATGCCATAGCATCATTTGCACACCGACACGTTCAGCCCATCCACGAGTTCATTTAACGCAAGGCTCTGCCTTCACAGATCGCAATCTCGAGCAAGAGGGCGCTTTACTGGAAGTTTTGTCCTCGCTGATGATGTTTTCAGCCGGGCATGAGACCGTGGGGTTAGTCATGATTTCCAGAAGTGTGTGCTCATGAATAACTAACCAACCTGTGGGTTTGGAAAACGTAGGGTTACAGCAGTGACCTCAGCTAAAAACAGGGATCAGAGCACTTGAAGGTTTCTAAATTGATTGAGGCATTTTGTTATTTATTTTTTTTTTTGAAACAGGATTCTGGGATTCCTCTGCTGTAAGTGGTATTAATTCAGGGAGAGCACTCCTGGAGGGATCTGCTAAGAAAGGTAAGGAGTGATGCTGACACTGATCTTGACTGTTATCCCTTTAAATTAAAAGTATCTGATTAATGTGGATGGGAGCTGCCTGGCAGCCACACACAGCAGTGTCCAGGAAAGCAGGTTCAGCCTCAGCTCGCATTTTCTGCTCGTGCTCCTCGGCTTTTCCCAAAGGAAGCACCACAGACTGAGTTTGCCTTCAGTCTTGGGACCATTTTCAGAAACTGAAAGAAATTCTTCCCGAGTGTTTGTCTGCAGGTTTCCCCAAAGCAGTTTGAACAATGAGGACAAACAGGCTGAAGTGACCCTGACACCAAGGCAGGTTACAGGCTGGACTGCTCAAAAATCCCCTTTTCTATTCAAGTTGGGCTGGGATCCATCTCCGGGGAGGTAAGAGGCAGTGGAGAGGTGGGAAGAGCTTTTGATCAGCACAAAGGATGCCAGAGAAAGCCAAGCAGGTGCTTTTTCACCCCAGCATTTCACAGGGGCTGGAAATCCCACATGACACATTCCACACATGGCTTTGTTTGCTGGACCTCGGGCATTTCCTGCAGCGTTGCCCTTCGGTTTTGTTTCGCGTGCTTCTGAAATGCCTTAAAAAGTTGTTTTTCTGCTCCTCTGGTAAGAGCAGCTTGCAAGACAACTGCTGGGGGCTTTCCATAAGTTTCTCAACGCATGCTTAGGCTTTTTTTAATATCCAAAAACCACTCCACAAGGATATATCCAGTAGCGCCTGCTCTCATACAGCGTCATCCGCGCGATTTAAATCAGGCCTTCACCCATGACACTCGTTACCTTGAAAGGGAACGCTGATTAAATTCTCTGATGACATAAAAAACAAATGGGTACTGAGAGCAGTCAGAACCTCACGTAGGAAAATGACTGAGGACAGCACAGCGTGCAGCATCACTGGGGAAAAAGTGACCCAGGGTTGTTGCATAAACTGGGTGCTTGCTGAGTGGAAACAAGAAGAGGAGGAACATGCGCAATGAATTACTCAGCTGTGGAATTCTGCCTGACATTCCTATTTCAACACACACAGTCACTTTCTGGAGGCAGGAATCTCCTCATTCCTTCTCGGTTGCGCTGTCTCTCCTCACAGCTGATGGTTGCTGCTCCCAAATGTCACTGTTAGCAGTGTCCCCTGTTAAGCAGCACATTCCCATGTCCTTTTTTTGAGGATGTCTTTGCCACAACCTCACCTTTCCCACACTCATGTTGTCACACGCTTTTAAAAGTAGTAGTGAAGATGAGCCAGGAGATATATTTACTTATATATCTTATATATAGGAACTCACGGGATGAAGCGCCCTTCCCTTGAAATAAAATTCTTGCAGGATGAGTATGTAGTAATCTTT